CTGGTCTTGAACTCCTGACCTTGTTATCCGCCCGCCTTAGCCTCCCAAAGTGCTGGGATTACAGGCATGAGCCACCACGCCCATCAAGGACACCCTCTTTGATGAAAGATTCAGAGCTCAGGAAGTGTTATCTTGCCAGACTCATCTTCTGAGCTCTGGTCAGATGCTCTGCCTCCGGGAACCCTTCCAGGCTGAGTTTGTTACTCATCCTTCTGGATTCTCACAGATTTTGGATAAACCTTGGTCCTTGGTTGTGTCTCAGCATCTTTAAGCCCTGGAGTATATGTACTCTGGCTTTGTCTGCTTTCTGCTGGCTGTGTGACCTTGAGCCAGTGATGTTACCTCTCTGAGCTTTGGTTTCTTCACCAGGAGAGTAGACTAACAGAGGTGCTTGATGCATAAACTGTGAGACCTACATGAAATGCAGTAGGTGGAGCAATTAGCCCTCTTGCACCCCACGCCACATTTACCTCCCTGTCCCTCACTCAGCCTTAGAGCCTGTTCTGGGCTCTCTGCAGGGTTCTGTGGTTGCTGTGTCCTTGGCCCAAGGATACCTGGAATCTTTCCATGCCCTTGCATGAAAGAGCTGCTTGCTTGTTGGGGTCCAGAGAGAGGTGAGGACCGGCCAGGGCTGTCCAGTGAGGGCAGAGGGCCAGGGCAACACCTGCAGGGTACTGGGTTGTGCCACCTGCTATCCCCAGGAAGGAAACTCATGAATATTCACACCACTAGAGTGGGAGGGAGGCAGCCAGCTTGCTGCTGGGTGTCATTGGAGCATTCCTGTCTCCCAGTGACCGCAGAGGCAGCCTGGGAGATGGACGTGGCTCAGGCAGCGGGTGGAAAGGGGCAGCCAGCCATAGCCAGAGGTGAGTGTGCCTCTTCTGCTCTGCCACAGGGGTCACAGGGAAAGTAGGACACCCTGAGGCCTGCCTGGTGGTGACGCTCTAAGCCAGAAGGTTTCCCTGTGTGCATGACTGGGGAGTAAGTCCTGTTTCTCCTTCATTCCTTGGAGGGTGTCGGTTCAGCTGAACGGGAGGATGGCTGGGCCTGGCCTGCTGCCAGCTGTCTGCACTGATGCAAGCCAGTGTGACGGGCGCAATCTAGAAGGACAGGAATAGAGGGGGTGGGCTGGTGATGGGGCACCATCTGTCCTGAATGCCCGCAGTTGTCACCACCATGGGCAGAGGAGGTGGGAGACCGAGGCTCTAGTCCCATGTCTGCTACTGCTGTGTAACCCTGAAAGTGTCCTTGCCCTCTTGGTCCGAGGCTCAGCTTCCCTGCCTCTTGGTCTTCCAGCCTGCACACACTTAGAAGGGGCTGTGGCTGGGCCCCTGGGAATATGATGATGATGATGATGATGGTAACGATGGCAGGTCCTGCTTAGTGACTGCTCTGTGCCAGCCCCAAGCTGGGGGCTTTCCTTGTGGAATGCAGAGGATCCGCACAGCACCCTGTGATGGAGGGACGGCTGCTACAGGGTTGAGTATCCCTTATCCCAAATACTTGGTACCAGAAGTGTTTCGGATTTCAGATTTTTGAGATTTTGGAATATATGCATATATGTAATGAGCTATCTTGGAGATGGAACCCAAGCGTACACACTAAATTCATTTACATTTTTTTCTTTCTTGTTGATTTTATTGTTTAAACGTTTTTTAATTTTATTTTTAAATTTTAGCCTAGTGACTGTCCTCCCTCAAGCCAGGCTCCTGGCTGCCAGCTAGCTCCTCTCCTGACCTCAGTCTGCCCAGGGGCTCTGCCTGTGATCACAGAGGGCCCTGTGTGCCCTGATCTTGCTGTTGTGTGTCCACTGCACACACGAGGAGATGGAGGCTCAGGGAGGGTAAGGTTCATAGCTTCACGCCCAAGTTCACAGTGAGTGGCTACACAGGAAGGGCACGACCAGCCTTGGACCCCCTCATGTGGCTGGCACAGGAGGGACCAGACACCAGGGCCCCCTCTGCTTCCCTCCCCTTATCCTGACTGCCCACAGAGACCAAACCCTCCTGTGCTCCCAGGACAGAGCTTCCTGTCCCCCCTCCCCACATCCCCCACTTTCTGCGATGCGACTTTCCCTCCTTCCTTCCCCTCCGCTTGGGACAGGGCTTGGGACACATCAGGCAGGGGCTGCCGTGGACAATGCAGGAAGCTGCACGTTAGAGGTCCATAGACCTGGGCTCGAATTCCTGCCCTGCCCTGCCTTTGCTGAATGACCCTGGACAAGCTCTGTCAACTCCTGGAACCTCACTTTTCCCATCTACCAAAATGGGGGTGACAGCAGGGGGGGGTGGAGTGATATCCACTAAGTAGCAGCTGAGAAGGGTCAGTTAGATGCTCTGGAGAGGCAGGCCCCTGCCCTGGGCCTGGCTTCTAACAGGGGCTCAAAAGTAAACCTAGGAGGGATGGCCCAAGCCTCAGCAGTTGGCAGCACCCAGCGCATGTGGTGGGGGCCTGGCAAGGTTTGAGAAATAGCAAATGGGGGCTGGGTTTAGTGGCTCACGCCTGTAATCCCAACACTTTGGGAGGCTGAGGCAGGTGGATCGCTTGAAGTCAGGAGTTTGAGACCAGCCTGGCCAACATGGTGAAACCCTGTCTCTACAACAATATAAAAGTTAGTCAGGTGTGGTGGTGGGCACCTGTAATCCCAGTTATTCAGGAGGCTGAGGCAGGAGAATCACTTGAATCCAGGAGGTGGAGGTTTCAGTGAGTCGAGGTCGCACCACTACACTCCAGCCTGGGCAACATAGCGGAGACTCCGTCTCAAAAAAACAAACAAACAAACAAACAAAAACAAAAACAGCAAATGGGAAAATGAAATGAGTGAGTGAATGAGTGAAACAATAATGGGGTGGGGGGTGGAGAAACTGTCCTGGGTGGGGCCAGGTGGAGCCTGATTGGCAGGCAGAGAGGTTGGTCTGCCCCCTGCTGCAGGGCCTGAACCTCAGCGTCTCCACTATTGCTGCTTCCCAGATTCCGGAAGGTACCCTGGTGAGTGGGGCTGCCAGGGCAGGGTGGGTCCTTTAGATTTCCAGAGGGCCAGCCACAGGAATCCTAATCCCTCCTCATCTTAAAGTCAGAGAAACTGAGGCCCAGAGTTTGGACTGTGATCTGGCCCACGACTCTGCCCTGTTCTCTGCTGGGCCCCTGGGGAGTGGGAGGCTGAAGGGGAGCTTGAGGCTGTGGTAGGTTTGTGCTTTGTGGACGCCCTGCCCCCAACCCCCGGGCCTCAGGAGGGGTACCACTCAGTGATTACTATGTGCTGGTTTCTTTGCTTAGCTCCAGAGTACAGCTAGGGGCGCAACCAGCTTTCCCATTTTACAGATGAGAAACTGAGACTCCATGAGGGTTCTTGGCTTGTCTGAAATCACAGTGCTGGATTGAAACACAGGCTCAGGATCCCAGAGCCTATGGTTGGTGCTGGGGCCCCTCCATGGCTGGCGGGTTTATCCCACCTTGCAGCTTCTTCATGTGTTAAATAACAAACGTGTTAACACATTTGTTTATGTGTTAACAATTATTGCCTTTTTTTTTTTTTTGAGATGGGGCCTGACTCTGGTTGCCCAGGCTGAAGTGCAGTGGCATGACCTTGGCTCACAGTAACCTCTGCCAACCTCTGCCCCCCAGGCTCCAGCAATCCTCCACCTCAGCGTAACTTTTCCAGGGAATACGTATGTGACCCTCCCGGAGGCAGGCTGACTGGCTTCTGCCTTCAGGGACAGTGGTGACAATGCCGTGCATGTAGTCATTAGCTCAGGTGACTTTTACTGGCTTCAGGGGCCCAGGGCGCAGTGCAGTGTGAGCCAGGATAGGAATGGAAAGTTCGGGCCAAGAGTAGAAAGTTTGGGGCCCTGGCTTTGCAGCTAAGGGGAGGTGGGAAGGCTCCCCAAGCTACAGCTCTCTCCTGGACTCTAGCTCCTCAGCCTGAACCCCCCCTCATAGCCCACATCTCACTCCCCTGCTGATAGGGTTGCCATGCTTAGATCATCTCCCCCAGACAAATAACAACAACAGGCTGGGCACGGTGGCTCATGCCTGTAATCCCAGCACTTTGGGAGGCCAAGGTGGGAGGATTGCTTGAACCCAGGAGTTCAAGAACAGCCTGGGCAATGTGGTGAAACTGTGTCTCTATTTTTTAAAAAATTAAAATAGCCAGGCACGGTGGCTCAAGCCTGTAATCCCAGCACTTTAGGAGGCCAAGGCGGGCGGATCACAAGGTCAAGAGATCGAGACCATCTTGGTCAATATGGTGAAACCTCGTCTCTACTAAAAACACAAAAAATTAGCTGGGCATGGTGGCGTGTGCCTGTAACCCCAGCTACTCAGGAGGCTGAGGCAGGAGAATTACCTGAATCCAGGAGGCGGAGGTTGCGGTGAGCCAAGATCGCGCCATTGCACTCCAGCCTGGGTAACAAGAGCGAAACTCCATCTCAAAAAAAAAAAGAAAAAGAAAAAAAAAATATATATATATATATATGAGAATTATTTCATTATGATGACCTAAAAGGTATAAACAATAAGATAACTTCAGGATCTGGGAGAATTTAAAGTAAAATTGAAGAATTTTAAAAAATATGTATTTTTATAAAAAAGAAAAAAAGAATCAGAAGACAAGATAACTAAAAAATAAGGTAACAAATATTTGTTACCTTATTTTTCTTCTTTTTCTTTTATTATCAGCCAGCTTAAAAATTAAAAGGAGTGGAAAGTTTGGGGCCCTGGTTCTGCTACCTGGTTCATTTTAACTGTTAAATGTTAAGCTTCTCCCTGCCCCATTCCCCAGCCTCTGTTTGAGTGCTTCGCCCACTGTCTCTGCAGCCCTGGGGCTGTCTCTTTCCAGGTGGTTGCTCTCGGTCTCTCCAGCATCTCTCTGCTCCTGTCTGGGCCCTGCTGGGGGGCCACAGAGCAGGCAAAGGCAGGTCTTGGCTGCCAGGTGTGGGCAGTCTTGGGTGAGCCCTGGGGCCAACTTCCTGACAGTTGCCCACTGTGTGCTGCCCCCGCAGGTGCCTGAGATGCCGCCACCGCAGAAGAAGCACTGGGAATCCATGGCTAAGGGGCTGGTGCTGGGTGCGCTCTTCACCAGTTTCCTGCTGCTGCTGTACTCCTATGTGGTGCCCCCAATGCACACCGGCCTGGCCTCCACGTGAGTGGTCCAGCTGAGCAGATGATGGGTATGGGGGGGAGGGATGGCGTCCCACCCATGGGGCCCCATAATTATCACAGGGCCTGCCCTTGTGATCTTGGGCAGCCACTCTGCACCCTGCACCATGCTTTGCCAAACAGAAATTCCACTGACAGCAGAACTCACCGTGTAACCCTGAGCCTTGGTGTGCCCATCTGTGAAGTGGGAATAATAACAGAGTCTTTCGGCTAGATGCCGTGGCTCATACCTGTAATCCTAGCACTTTGGGAGGTGGGCAGATCACCTGAGGTCAGGAGTTCGAGACCAGCCTAGCCAACATGAGGAAACCCCACCTCTACTAAAAATACAAAAATTAGCTGGGTGTGGTGGTGTGTGTCTGTAATCTCAGCTACTCGGGAGGCTGCAGCAAGAGAATTGCTTGTACCCAGGAGGCAGAGGTTGCAGTGAGCCAAGATTGTGCCACTGCACTCCAGCCTGGGCAACAGAGTGAGACTCTGTTCAAGAAAACAAAACAAACGAAAAAACAGAGCCTTCCTCATGGGGCATGAGAACCAGGTAACACTGTCTGTGTACAGGGCTCGGAGTAGCATCATCTGAGACTCCAGTGGGGCCACACTGGGGGCGACAGCGACCTGTCCATGGGCGTGGATTCAAACTGGGGTCTGTCTGACTCCAGGCCCAGCTCCTGAGAACCAGGCTCTCCAGCGCCTCCTCATGGGGCTGCTCTACACAGACCCTACACAGCCTGTAGCTGGTACAATACCAGTCGTTGGTGATATTAAGTTGAAATAGAGAAAACCGGAAATTTCTACAAAAACTGATCATTCTTGTCCTATAAAACGGCAATTTCTCGCTGGGTGCGGTGGCTCACACCTGTAATCCCAGCACTTTGGGAGGCCAAGGCGAGCGGATCACGAGGTCAAGAGATCGAGGCCATCCTGGCCAACATAGTGAAACCCCGTGTCCACTAAAATACAAAAATTAGCTGGGTGTGGTGGTGTGCGTCTGCAATGCCAGCTACTTGGGAGACTGAGGCAGGAGAATTGCTTGAACCTGGGAGGCGAAGGTTGCAGTGAGCCGAAATCGCACCATCCAACCCGGCTCCTGGCGACAGAGTAAGACTCTGTCTCAAAAAAATATAAATGGCAATTTCCTGTGGCCCAAGCTGATACTGATTCATGATACAAGCAACACAGTGGCCACGAATGAGATGAGAGCCTGTGTGGGTCATCTCACAACACCATGAATAGAGCCTGTTATTGTCCCCATTTCACAGAAGAGGAACTGAGACCAGAGAGGCCAGACCACCCATCCAGGCACCCAGCCTGGACTCAGGCCCCACAGGTCCCACTGTCCTAGCTCCTTTGCCACCACTGTCCCCAACAGTCTCCCTCTCTAGCTACCAGAGTCCTGAGGGCCCAGCACGCCCCTGAGGCTCTCCCCACCTCTCTGTCCCCAGCAGGACCCCAGAGGCTGCAGCGTCCTGCTCTCCACCCCTGCTTGAGCCAGAGGCAGTGACCCGAGCCAACAGGTCGGCGGGAGAGTGCCAGCCGCGGCGCAACATCGTGTTCCTGAAGACGCACAAGACGGCCAGCAGCACCCTCCTCAACATCCTCTTCCGCTTCGGCCAGAAGCACAGGCTCAAGTTCGCCTTCCCGAACGGCCGCAACGATTTCGACTACCCGACCTTCTTCGCCCGCAGCCTGGTGCAGGACTACCGGCCCGGGGCCTGCTTCAACATCATCTGCAACCACATGCGCTTCCACTACGACGAGGTGCGCGGCCTGGTGCCGCCCAACGCCACCTTCATCACGGTGCTCCGCGACCCCGCCCGCCTGTTCGAGTCCTCCTTCCACTACTTCGGGCCGGTGGTGCCCCTCACGTGGAAGCTCTCAGGCGCTGACAAGCTGGCCGAGTTCCTGCAAGACCCCGATCGCTACTATGACCCCAACGGCTTCAATGCCCACTACCTCCGAAACCTACTCTTCTTCGACCTGGGCTACGACAGCGGCCTGGACCCCGGCAGCCCGCAGGTGCAGGAGCACATCCAGGAGGTGGAGCGCCGCTTCCACCTGGTGCTGCTGCAGGAGTACTTCGACGAGTCGCTGGTGCTGCTGAAGGATCTGCTGTGCTGGGAGCTGGAGGACGTGCTCTACTTCAAGCTCAACGCGCGCCGCGACTCGCCGGTGCCGCGGCTCTCCGGGGAGCTGTACGGGCGCGCCACCGCCTGGAACATGCTGGACGCCCACCTCTACCGCCACTTCAACGCCAGCTTCTGGCGCAAGGTGGAGGCCTTCGGGCGGGAACGCATGGCCCGCGAGGTGGCCGCCCTGCGCCGTGCCAACGAGCGCATGCGGACCATCTGCATCGACGGGGGCCACGCTGTGGATGCTGCCGCCATCCAGGACGACGCCATGCAACCCTGGCAGCCGCTGGGCACCAAGTCCATCCTGGGCTACAACCTCAAGAAGAGCATCGGGCAGCGCCACGCGCAGCTCTGCCGGCGCATGCTCACGCCCGAGATCCAGTACCTGATGGACCTCGGCGTCAACCTGTGGGTCACCAAGCTCTGGAAGTTCATTCGCGATTTCCTGCGGTGGTGACGTCCCGCCGCCCAGTGGCCGGCCTGCCTCAGGGAGCTGAGCAGGAAGCCGCTGGTGCTGGCCACCTCCAGCCCCCTCCTGGTGCCACCTCGGACCCCGAGGTGAGGGGGGCTCCCTGGGGGATGCAGCCATCCAAGACTGGGCCCACACACAGAAAGGGCCTAACGGAGATCCGTATTTGACTAATTATACCGGTTTTTATTAAACCCCTTTCCCTCCCGGAAAAAGAATGTTCTATTTCTGCCTCCCCTTAAAGGGGAGACCTCAGAAGTAAAGGAATTTGATGTGTTTTTGTTAATCAGTCTCAGTGGTGGTGACTTGGGGTAGGGGTTGGGGTGGGAGGCCCCCAAGAGAGCACGGTGGTGCCTGGGGGGGTCTGTGGGCAAAGCCCAGTGGGGTGGCAGGGATTTGATGTGTATTTGCTATGTGCTATAGTCCTGTGTCTTTCAGGGACTCCCAGGAGCTACCAAAGCTTGGAAAAGCATGTGTGCATGTGTGTCTGTGTGTGTAAACACGCATGTGTGTGTGTGCATGTGGGGGGCACACACGTGTGTGCGCACATGTGTATGTATGCGTGTGTATGGGCAAGCATGTGTGTGTGTTCACGTGTGTGGGCACACACGTGTGTGCATGTGTGTATGCATGTGCGTGTGTGCATGTCTGTGTGTGATCATCCTCAGGAGTACAAAAGCCACTCACTCTGACTGTGTGCCCAGCACTAGGCTAAGGGTATTATTTCAACTCATCTTCACCAAAACTCAGCAACCTAGGGACTGTTATTGTCTCATGCTAGAGACAAGAAAGGGGACAATCACTTCACAAGATCACACAGCAAGTGGTAGGACTAGAGCAGGGGGCTGGGCGGGTAGAGGGTGTGGCCAGGTCAGAAGAGAGAGAGAGAGAGAGAGAGAGAGAGAGAGAGAGAGAGAGAGAGAGGGAGGCCCTGGGCCCACGCTAAGGGCACCCCAGGCCGCCTCCCACACCTGCTTGTACTCTGCCCCACTGACAAGCTCTGGATTTCCCCACTCCACCTTGAGATTCCATTCAATTAATCAAAAACAAAAACATTGATATCCAGCAAATCCCTGTTGTGCGCCCCCAGCCCTGAGCTGCTCTGAGCATACAGCAGTCCACAAGCTAGCCAACTTGTTATTAGTGCCTGCCTGTAATATCCCAGCACTTTGGGAGGTTGGGGTGGGTGGATCGAGTGAGACCGACCTGAGCTAGATGGGGAAATCCTGTCTCTATGAAACAAAACAAAACCCGCCCCAACAAAAAACAAGTTGACGGATCCCTCCTAGGGATTCATATCCAGAGGGGAAGATGGCCGCTGAGAAGCCAGTGCAGGCTGGGTGTGACTGACCAGGGTGTGGACACGCCCAGCTCTAACCATCTGCCTCTTTCAGCATCCCCAGCTCGAGGGAGAGTCCTGAGGCACAGGACTTTCAGGCTTTTAGCTAGGAGCTAGCATCCAGGCCTGGATAGCAGAAACCACAGTCAGGTGACTTTTTTTTTTTTTTTTTTTTTTTTTTGAGACAGGCTCTCACTACGTTGTCCAGGCTGGTCTGGGCTCAAACTCCTGGGCTCCAGCGATCCTCCTGCCTCAGCCTCCCTCCAATAGCTGGAGGAGCATGCCACTACAACTACCTTCCAATGACTCTTCACTGGGGGCCTATTTGTGTCAGGTTCCAGGCCAGGTGCTTGCATACCTTATCCAAATATATTCAACCTGCCAGCTTTTAGACCAAAACTCAGAGAGATTAAGTGCCCTACCCAAAGTTACACAGCAAATTAGTGCCAGAGTCAGAATTCAAACCCATGCCAGTCTGCTGTTAATCACTCACTGGGCTTGGGTTGATGCTTCCTAGGAGTGAGCTTCTGGCCTGGACAGTGTGGGGAAGAGTTAAAATCACCAACTCTCCCAGTTTTCTGGGACTATCTTGGTTTTAGAATTGAAACTCCTATTTTTCAGGAAACCCCTCAGTCCCAGGCAACCAGGACAGTCTGTTACCCGAGAGAGGTTTGACGCTACCAATCCCTTAGAGCCACTGCCTGCACCTTCATAATGTTGTCTGTGGCAAGAAATAATGTTCTTTGTAGCACACTCTTGAAGCCTGAAATTCATATGGAAATAAGGGGAAAAACCCACTGACAGTAGCTAAGACTATTTATAGGAAAAGCTATTACTGACCCAAATTCACAAGATAACTGCCCCCACCTTTGGTTTCTCACAGGGATGAGTGGTCTCCAACTCCTGGCCTCAAGCAATCCTTCCGCCTCACCATCCTAGAGTGTTGGGATTAATCAGTTAATCAAGCAAACACCTGAGCCGCCATGCTTGGCCTTCCTCATTTTCATTAATCAAAGATAGATGCAACTTGCAGGGTGTTGCAAGAAAGGCATTCCCGGGAGAGGGAACAGCAGAAGAAAAAGCTAGAAGGAGAATGGAGAGAAGGCGAGGGACCTGAGACAAGGGAGAAGGGAAGGAGAAATCAGCTCAGGAGGGACCCAAAAGCGCCGTGAGTCCAGGTGAAGGCATTTACAGTTTCTCCTGAGGGTAACAAGGTGCCCAGGGAGGCTTTGGAGCAGAGGAGGGATGTACTCAGAAGCCAGCTTGAAGAAGATAGGCCAAGGCCAGGTGCGATGGCTCATGTGTGTAATCCCAGCACTTTGGGAGGCTGAAGTGAGCAGATCGCTTGAGGTCAGGAGTTTGAGACCAGCCTGGCCAACAGAGTGAAACCCTGTCTCTACTAAAAATATAAAAATTAGCCATGTGTGGTGGTGTGTACCTGTAATCCCAGTTACTCAGGAGGCTGAGACAGGAGAATTGCTTGAACCTAGGAGGAGGAAGTTGCAGTGAGCTGAGATCATGCCACTGTACTCCAGCCTGGGTGACAGAGTAAGTAGACTCTCTGTCAAAAAAAAAATAAATAAATAAAAAATAGAGAGAGAGAAAGGAAGGAGGGAAGGAAGAAAGGAAGGGCCGGACGTGGTGGCTCATGCCTGTAATCCCAGCACTTTGGAAGGCCGAGGCAGGCAGATCACAAGATCAAGAGATCAAGACCATCCTGGCCAACATGGTGAAACCCCATCTCTACTTAAAAAATACAAAAATTAGCTGGGCATGGTGACGCACGCCTGTAGTCCCAGCTACTTGGGAGGCTGAGGCAGGAGAATTGCTTGAACCCAGGAGGCGGAGGTTGCGGTGACCCAAAATCGCGCCACTGCACTCCAGCCTGGTGCCTAGCGACAAAGCAGGACTCTGTCTCGAAAGAAAGAAAGAAGATGGGCCAGAGGTGCTGGGAGCAGGGACACAGTGGGAGGGGGTGAGAGCAGCAGAGAGTTCCTGACTTTACCCCTGTGGCTCAAGCTCCAGCCTGTGGTGTATGGGGTGCTAGGGAGACCCCACCCTGCAGAAGAGGCAGATCTGCTCATTACGCCCATGCAGGGCTAAGGGGGACCGTCCTGGGACTTAGCAAGGCCTCTGCCTATGTGCATGCCCCTGCCATGAGCCAGGCATGTGCAGCCCTCAACCCAGCTACTTTTCTTCCTGAGGAAGGAGCAGACAGAACATGACTGTCAGCAGGTTATAGCTCAGAACTATGCAACTTGAGAGGATCTCAGGTACTCCTCTAGCCAATCCTGACCTTAACCTATACACTGACAGAAGTTCCTTTACAGAAAAGGGAGTTCGAAAAGCAGGATATGCCGTAGTCAGTGATCAAACAGTACTTGAAAGCAATTCCCTCCTCCTGGGACTAGTGCCCAGCTGGCAGAACTGGTAGCCCTCGCTCAAGCTCTAAAATTAGGAAAAGCAAAGAGTAAACGTATACACGGATTCCCGATATGCTTACCGGGTTCTGCATGCTCATGCAGCCATATGGAAGGAAAGGCTGTTCCTAACCTCGGCAGGAACGCCCATTAAATATCATAAGGAAAGTTTAGACTACCACAAGCTGTCCAAGAACCAAAAGAGGTAGCAGTCTTACACTGTGGGGGTCACCGGCAGGGAAATGAGGAAGTAGCAGAGGAGGATCACTGAGCTCACCGAGAGGCAAAAAGGGCAGCTGGACAAGAATTCACAGAAGGACCTTTAATATGGGAAAAACCCGCTCCAGGGAACCAGACCTCAATACTCCTCAGAAGAGGTAGAGCGGCCGGGCGTGGTGGCTCAAGCCTGTAATCCCAGCACTTTGGGAGGCCGAGGCGGGTGGATCACGAGGTCAAGAGATCGAGACCATCCTGGTCAACATGGTGAAACCCCGTCTCTACTAAAGATACAAAAAATTAGCTGGGCATGGTGGCACGTGCCTGTAATCCCAGCTACTCGGGAGGCTGAGGCAGGAGAATTGCCTGAACCCAGGAGGCGGAGGTTGCGGTGAGCCGAGATCGCGCCATTGCACTCCAGCCTGGGTAACAAGAGCGAAACTCTGTCTCAAAAAAAAAAAAAAAAAAAAAAAAAAGAAGAGGTAGAGCGGGCAATCTCCCAGGGACACAATTTTCTTCCTTCAGGATGGCTAGCTACTGAGGAAGGAAAGTGCTCCTATGTGCTGCCAGCCGGTGGGAAGCACTTAAAACTCTGTATCAAACCTTCCATATGGGTACAGAGAATACACATCGGATGGCCAAATCTGTATTTACAGACAAAGGTCTCTTCAAGGCTGTCCAACAAATAGTCAAAGAATGTGAAGTATGCCAGAGAAATAATCCTTCAGCACATCGCAAAGCTCCTCCTGGGGAACAGCGAGCCGGTCATCACCCAGGTGAGGACGGGCAGATGGACTTTGCCCATAGGCCTAAGTCTCGGGGACATCAATATCTGCTAGTATGTGTAGATACTCATAAAAACGGGGTTGAGGCTTTCCCCTGCAGAACAAGGAAAGCCCAAGAGGTAATAAAAGTTCTAATTGATCCCTAGGTTCGGACTCCCTCGCTGTCTTCAAAGCAATAATGGCCCTCCCTTTAAAGCTGTTGTCATCAGCTGGGCGCGGTGGCTCAAGCCTGTAATCCCAGCACTTTGGGAGGCCGAGGCGGGTGGATCACGAGGTCGAGAGATCGAGACCATCCTGGTCAACATGGTGAAACCCCGTCTCTACTAAAAATACAAAAAACTAGCTGGGCGTGGTGGCACGTGCCTGTAATCCCAGCTACTCAGGAGGCTGAGGCAGGAGAATTGCCTGAACCCAGGAGGCGGAGGTTGCGGTGAGCCGAGATCAGGCCATTGCACTCCAGCCTGGGTAACAAGAGCGAAACTCCGTCTCAAAAAAAAAAAAAAAAAAAAAAAAAAAAAGAAAGCTA